AACATTTTTATTTTAATTTGTGTACATTTATTGCTGTTATATAGAAATACAGTCAATTTTTGTATGTTAATCTTCCACCCTGTGACTTTATTGAACTGAATATTTCTAGAAGTTGTTTTTTGTAGATTCCTTGGGGTTGTCTATATAAATAATCATGGGGACAGTTTCTTTCTAACCTATGTGCCTTTTATTTCCTTTTCTTGCTTATCATCTAGAACTTCCAGCAGTATGTTTCAGAAGAGTGGTGAGAGCATATATCATTGCCTTGTTCTGAGTCTTAGAAAGGAATCGTTTAATCTTTCATCATTGAGTATAATGTTACCTTGTAGATATTTTTTTGTAGCTGCTCACTATTGAAGTTTCCCCCACTTCTATTTTTCTGAGAATTTTTGTCATGAATGTATTGAATATTGTCAGATTTTTTTTACATCAATAATTATGATCAAGTGATTTTTCTTTAGCCTGTTTTGTGATGGATTACATTGGTTGATTTTCAAATATTGAATCAACTTTGCATCCTGGAATAAATTCCACTAAATCATGGTATATATATATTTTATATATCACTTAGCTCTATTTGCTAATATTTTGTTAAGGAATTTCATGTCTGTGTTCATGAGGGATATTGGTGTATAGTTTTCTATTTTGATACTGTCTTTCTGGTTTTGATATCAGGGTAATATTAGCTTTATAATGAAATGTGTTTCTTCCTCTTCTGTTTTCTGGTGGAGAGTAGGTAGAATTAGTGTTCATTCTCCTTTGAACATTTTACAGAATTTGCCAGTGAAACCACCTAGCCCAGAAGTTTCTTTTTTGGAAGATTTTTTAATTAAAAAAAGCAATTTTCTTAATTATTTGGTGATTCAACTGTCTATTACACATCAGATGAGTTGTAGTTTCTGTGTTTTGATGAATTGGTTTATTTCATCTAAGTTGGCAAATTAATGTCTTGCAACCGACATTGGTGGTATTTTTTCTCTCTACCTTTCACAGCCGCCCTATGTCTATTCTATACATAATGCCCAAAGTTTTAAATTATACTTAAATCAAGAAACATCGATGTGTGAGAGAAACGTTGATTGGTTGCCCCTCGCACACACCCCAGCCAGGAACCCCCTGGCTACCCAGGTGTCTGTCCTGAGTAGGGATTGAACTGGCAACCTTTCAGTTTGCAGGACAACACCTAACCAACTGGCTACTCTGGTCAGGGCTCTGGCACAACTGTTAACAGTTAAAATGATGGTCAGAAGTTTTTCCAGAGGGAAAGATGCTTTTTAGAAAGTTTATTTTTAAGATAAGATTTGAGTAAGATATTCAAAACAGATGGATACTTTCTAATACTTACAAGGCTCTCATGTAGAAATGAAACACTCTCAGCATCATCAGTATAGTCTGCCTAATTTCGCCTTGCACTTTACACCAGTCATCATCAGAAGGAGGCCTGGGACTCCTCAGTCGTAGTTCATCTACCAGCGTGTCGTTCTCTATGGCATACCACGTCTCTTAATCAAACCTCATTTCCATCTGTCTCCAAATCCCCAGACTGTTCCTACTTACTTTTCGGAACTGATGGTCCTCTGCTGAACTTGACTATCTGAAACCTATGTCCCCACCAAAACAAAATCCTAGTTGAAAGACTCCCAATTATGGTAAAAGCTAGGGCTGAAGATGGCTCTTCTGGATCTGGGACTGGAGGGAGGAGGTCCAGGTGCCACCCTTAGGTGCTGCCTGGAGGAGAGGGAGACTTGGAGCCTCGGCTGTCCTGTGCGTCTCTAGAAGATGGTGAAGAAACCTGGGTAGAGATTGGTCTGGCAAGGGAGACAAAGGCAAACTGGAGAGAATGGAATTGAGAAAACATTTGTGTAGTCACCTATAGAAAGGGGAAGATGGATTATATGAGATAAAAAATGAATCTTTCTGTGAGGATCATGAAATGGGCAGTTCAGGAGCACTTGGGCCGAGTGGACGTCTTTCAGTTTCTACCAGAGAAAACTCTGTAACAGGACATGATGGTTTCTTTTCTTCTTCTTTTTTTTTTTTAAGAAAAAAATGTTTTAATATTTTTATATTTATTGTTCTGTTTCAGAAATTTAATCATGGTATTCCTTGGTGTGGTATTCCCTGATTTTTGCCCTGACTGGGTAGTTGTTTTTTTTTTTTAACTACTTGGATTATGTGACTTTATAGTTTTCATCAAATTTGGAAGAAAATTCTTTCTTCAAATCTTTTCTGTCCCGTTCATACCCTCCCTCTCTCTGTTAAACCGTGTGATACTGACCTGTAGGTCACTGAGGCTTTATCCTTTTATTTTTGAGTATTTGTTCTCTATGTGCTTTAGTTTGGATAATTCTTACTGTTGTGCCTTCAGGTGCCTGTTCTCCAATATCTGAACTACTAATTCCCATCCAGAGAACTAAACATTTTGGATATATTGTAAATTTTTCATCTTTAAAAGCTCTATATCTTTAAAAAATTTTTATTTCTCACCTCATTATGTTTATATTTTTCTCTGTATTCTCAAGCATATGTGTATTAGTTCTCTTAAAGTCCTTGCCTGCTAATTTAGTCATCCTGTAACTTTTTGGTCTGTTTCTATTGACTAATTGTTATCCTGGTTTGGTTATCATTTTTCTATTTATATCACTACTAATTTTTTATTGAATGGTGGACATTACAAAGTTTCATGATCTGTGCTGGATTTTTATCTTCTTTCAAATAGTGTTGGACTTTGTTTTGGCCAGCAGTTATTTATGGATCAGTTTGATCCTTTATTGCGGGGATCAGCGAACATTTTCTTAAAGGGCCAGAGGGGAAGTATTTTAGGATTGTGGGCTATCTGGTTTCTGTCGCAACTGCCCAGCTATGCTCTTGTACCTGGAAACCGGCCATAGGCGATGTGTATTAACACACAGGTGCTGCCACGCTCTAGTAAAACTTCATTTAGAAAAGCAGTTGACTCCCCCACAGCTGGTAATTTGCTAACCCATGCTTTAAAGGTTTGTTTTTAAGTTTTGTTAAAGTGGCTTTAGAGTAGCTTTACTCTGCGGCTAATTTATTTATTTTGGAGTGCCTCTTGATTTTCCTGGATGGTCAGCAAGGATTCCCTGATGGGCTGAAACTCACAGTTCCTAGTCCTCTGTGAGCTTTGGAAACTCGTGCGTTTCCAGTGCTCCAGTCTGTCTTCGCCCAGTCCCTTGGAGCTTCACTCGGTGCGTGCGCAGCGTTCAGCCAGAGCGTCGGGCAGACCCCTAAGCTGAGTTGTGGTGGTCTTCTGAAGTCCCCTCCTCTCAAGTACCCTGCCCCTCAAATCCCAGTTGTTGCCTTCTCAGCTCAGGAAGATAACGGATCTGCTCGGGATCCTTCTCCTTGCTCCACAGTCCAAAACATGTTTCCAGAGTCCCGCTGCCCCCCCGCAAAACAAACAAACAAAAACCAGGGTATACAGGGCACACACCACATACAGCTTCCTTCTCCCAGGGATTACAGCCCTGTACTGCCTGTGCTCCGGTATCTGAAGGCTGTTTTCTGTGTTCTGTCCAATGTTACAGGACTTCACAACAGGGGGGTTAAGCCCTTTCCCAGTTCTACCTTCATGGCAGAAAGCTTCTGTGATGGCTTTAAAATTAATATTTCAGTTCCATTCTAGATTAGATTCCCTGGGGGCAGTACCTGGACTTCCATAGTTTTTAAGTCCCTCAGGATCCTGATGTATAGTCAAATTTGAGAATCATGGCCTCAGAGTTTTAGGAGCTAAGTAGAGATAATTGAACATGTCAAGTACTGGGGCCTAGTGTATCTTAAATACAGAGATGCCGACATCTGGAGCTCTAATTGGACAGAGAGCAGGGAGGGTCACCTAAGAAGGAAGGAGGCTCTGGACAAAAACCCTTATTGAAAGGATGGCAGGAGATGAACTCCCCCTGTTCTGGAGTTTTGAGGCTCAGGCTTATCCCTCTCAGTCACCAGATGACAGTGGTGGCCGGACTCATCCTCCTTTCTTCCGCTCCCTACTCTGGTAGACCTTGCTGTTCTTTGTATCCCTTGGATGACTAGAAGTGAGAAGGACAGAGTTTTGTTGGCCCAAGCTTTCCCTTCACCCACACCCTCCCCAAACTAACGGAGGTTGAGAGCAAAAAGGGTGGTTTCCCACGATCCATTTCTCTCTCCTTCCTCCCACTTTCTCTGAACCCCCCCCCCCCACACGCACACACACACACACACAAATGCAGTTTTTGGTTAGGTAAAGCAGGTTACATTATGTGTAGCCATCCACGGGCATTTGAAGAAACTAAAACTGATATCCTTTCCGAGATCCTTTATCCAAACAGAATAAACAGGGAAGGATAAATGTGTTTGCTAGATCTGAACTTATAATGCTAAGGAACCGACACAGTAATAAAATTTATTTGAACTTATTTTGGCTTAAAAATTAATGTAAGTTGTGCATTTTATTCTTTCATATATCAGTATTTGTTTTAATATAGAAGTGTTCTCAACACTTAATAGATTTGCCATTTCAGAGAAATACACCATCTTTTTCATGTGACTTCATATACCTCCTGATATGCCAGTAGATTGATTTATAACTTCTCTACTTGGTGAAACACAACAATAGAAGTAATTTTGGTTTTTTTGTTCTTAATAATGTTCAGTTTCTAATTTTTAAGTGACATTGTAGGTGATACAGGACTCGGAGACACACCTACAGGTACTTGATGCATGTTTACATGAATGTTTCTTTAAGGGGAAAGTGTATCTTAAATTCTAGTCAGCACTCTGGTAGTCAACGTTTTTGAGGAAGGACTTGATTATTTGGGGCTTACCAATCCTCTTTTTCTTTTATTAGCCCAGAAATATTCTGTATTCCTTGCATTCCGATAGAATGAGTTTTTGTGAACACAGGTGTACCGATGCGCAGTTACCAAGTGTTACATAAAGCAGTGGTTTCACTTACACTTGGTTTCCACTGAAGACACTGAGTTTTCTTTGCCGTTCTGCAGTACCTTCTCCAGGCAAATTCCGCTCCCCTGCAGCACCGTCTCCTTTGGCTCTCCGGCAACCAGTGAAAGCGTTTAGTAACCACGGCTCTGGTTCTCCTGGTAGCCAAGAAACAACACAACTCACACAAACCACCTCCTCACCTGGGCCTCCTGTGGTTCCGAACACAGTCCCGGCGAATCCTCCCAGCAACATCAACAGCGCTACTCTAACCAGACCTGCAGGGACAACCGTGATGAGAAGTGGCTTGCCCAGACCCAGTGCCCCTTCTGCGGGGGGTATACCAGTGCCTCGCAGCAAACTTGCACAGCCTGTTCGCAGGTGAGTGGTGAATGCTCTGTTTCAGCGTTCCTGAGCATAGGGAAGTGGGGGGACTGGCATTACACTCGTCTCTGCATTTGATAGTGAACCTAGAGAGTCCTAATTTGTTCTCACTAGAGTCTTAGTGCAATTTGACCAGAAGATTTTTTTTTTATTGTTTTAAAAGAAAACCTTGCTTGGGACATTTAGGGTGTTATATCACTTTGGTTCAGATTAAATTTGCCTAGATATCTGACATTATTAAACACCTCAGAGACCTCCTACAATAGTAAAGGCATATTAGAACCTAGAGTGAGATTTAAGATAAAATTTCTAGCTGCCAAATCTGAGTATAATCCAGGAGGGTGATTCTCAAACCTTGCCTCAAATCAGAATCTTCTGTGGAATTTATGTAAACATATAGGCCTAAAATTTACTGACAAAGAGTTGGTCTAGTATGAAGACCAAAATCTGTGGGTATGCTGGTTTGGTTTGTTTAATCTTCAGGTAATTCTGAGCCCACCCAGGTGGGTAACTATGCACCTGTAATCTCTATCTACCTTTCAAGAATGTGATTACCACATCAGTAAATTTACGTGTCAAAATTAAATGTTAAGTATTTATTTGTGTGTAAAAAAAAGTGTTCATCCCATGAGCATTTAAACTGTCCATACTTTTTTATTCTAACGTAAATATATTATGTTTCTGAATTCAATAGTAAAGCACAATAGCTTTTTGTCATGTACTCCGCTAAGTTATCATGCATATCTTAATTTTTGCAGTAATGTTAAAAGTGTAGGAACTGTTGTTACTCCTGTTTTCAGAAAAGAATATTGAAATGTAGTGAGGTAAATACGGTTGGTAATCCATGTGGTTGGAAAAGATGAGGCAGTCTTTACTGTACTGGCTGTGCTAACAGAAGCAGGTTAGCGAGGCCGCCCGATGCCGAGCAGGACGGGAGCCTTGTGGAGATGCTGAGTGTGGGTGGTTGTGCTGACGGCGCTGGTCTCGGCGGTCCCCTGGGGCGGCCTTCACCGGCTTTGGTGCCCTGCAGAGTAATGACCCTGCGTGGGGCACAGTGTGGTGAGGTTTGATCGAAGCCCTGAAAATCTCTGTATCGCATTGCTTTGTTTCAGATCCTTGCCAGCTCCTAAAACCTATGGTAGCATGAAAGACGACAGTTGGAAAGATGGCTGTTACTGACCAGCAAAGAGAAGGATGCAGAGGTCCACAGCTTCATGGGTACCCTTCACCAGGCTAACCGACAACTTTTATATGCAGACTGTTCACACGAGACTCTTGGGATTTATAAAATCCCATCCCTCTCTGTCTTAATTAGCACAAACTGACAGAGACGATCAATCAGCACTTTAATGACATTTAACATCAGATGTGTTTGGTAATCATACAATCACTCTCCATAGAATCACTTTTAGTTTTGTTGAACAGAAACTAAGTTGATTTTTAAATATTTGACAGAGGCCAATATCTGGGCAAAAAAACCTAGTGGATGCCAAAGAGAAAATGCCCATTTATGAATGAGAGAGTACCTTTGTGCACAAGAAAATGGTGAGTTCAAGCTATCCAAAACTTCACGTTCAACCTAATTTACTGTATACATGGTATCAATAAATATCTGTGCTAATAAGAACTAATATTCTGAGTAATTATCTAAAATGTCCCACTAGTATTTTGCTGGTACTCCAGGAAACTAGACTGAGATGAAGCAGGATAGGGGCTGGAGATTTAAAATATGATATCTAAATTTGGGGGAGCTCCATACCTTATTTTTGCAGATTCATTACAGAAAAAATATCATTTTGCTCACTCCTAAGTTTCGGCGGTAGCTCACACGTCAGCCCCACCAGACAGGGCCACGGCGTGCGTCCGCCGTGTCGCATCGACACATCAGATTCCGTGCGTTTGTTTCAATTGCCAGAAGGGCTTAGTGTCAGTCGTACAATCTTTCTAACCTTTGTAGTTCCTGGCTCAGGAAAGGTGGCCTTTGCTATTGAAGCCAACTTCTCCACATGCTGTTATCTGTTACAGAACTGAGAGATCTTGCTTTTATTGGCATGTTTCCATGACGGGAAAGAGCAAGTAGTATGTGTCTTTATTCTTGATACAAATAACACCACCTCAGTGCTTACAACCTGGAACACAACCATACAGTGAGAGAGGGGAACTTCTATGCACTTAACTCACAAACTCTCTGGTAATGACACTTGTACTGTTGCCGTCGAGTGACACGGCAGTCTGCGTCGTGGTAGGGGCGCGGCCTGCCGAGTCCTGCCCAATCGGATCCACTGTAAACTGAGTGACTGTATGAAACACCCTTTGAAAATACTGTCCCTTTTGACTTTGATTCTGCCTTACATCGATTTTTGCATTTTTGGTAACAAATGAAACCCAGTACATGTGACTACATGTGACTAACCCTAAATACTCGCTCTGTAATGGCCTGTATGTGTACCTGGGAGTCACTTCTTTCGTTGTTGGGTTTTCTTTTTTCTTAGGCTATTACCAGACTGAAAGGTCCTCTACAGCAGGTCTCTCGTTTTTTCACAATGAGAGGCCATTTTTTAAATATTTAATTTGAATAGTTCTAAAATATTGGCAATCAAATCACCTAGAGGATTTTAGAGATTTGAACATAAGTTTATTTCCTGTTAGTCAAAGACATTCTGTAAGTTGGCAAAAGAAATTGAGAAATGGGAAGCTTGATATTCAGGAGAGCATTGAGGTCGACGCATTGAGAGAACGATAAAACTTTGAAAACTAAGACCCCTGTCCTGCGTGAGGGACGCCGAGGGAGTCTTTATGAGCCTGACCAGCAGGGAGTCATGCAGCCCAACTGCCAGTGCTAATGCATTTCCCTGTTTGATGCAGGGAACAGATTTCATCCCTGCATTTGAGGGTGATGGGGGTGGTTCAGGAAATGATGGCACCAGAATTCCACGTGATGATGAACTTAAATATGTTGCTTTTCAGAGATCAAGAAAACATCTGCTTTGAGTGTGTGAGGGGGTATCCCATGTACAAATCTAAGTGAAAGAAAGAACTAGCCACTGCCTCTTTAAAACCACATTTACGCAAAACAAAATAGGTCTCAGTCTTCAGTGCAACATTGCAAAAAGAGAAATATATATATATGCTGCAACCTAATAATTAAGATGAATTTAACTCTATTATGAAACACCCATTACATTTTTAAGTTAGATTATCAGTTTCAAAAGGAATATTCAGGTTATTTAACTTTGTTTTTAAAAGGCTGCATCAGAAAAAAATGTCTATTTTTTTTAATTAAAATATTTCATCACTCGTTAAAAATGTATTTTGATCTGAGTTGGGTAAAGTATTATTTTACCTGCTGTTGTACTACCACAGACTATTGGCTTTTAGTTTCCTAAAGAGAAAAATTGTTTTTTTACTAGAAAGCCTTTGTGTATTGCCAATTTTTCTATTTGGGAAAATCCAAGGATTCACTGTGGTTAGTCATACAGGAGAAATGTGGATTTGATAAACTAGTGCCTATGATTTTAACTTATGTTTGATACATAGTAGTGAGGGTTTTATGAATGTTGATTATTTTTTTGTGCCAACAGCCCAGAATTGTCACTTATATGTAAGCAGAAAGATATGAGCTCTGCTTCCAAAGTTATTTAATTTTCTCAGTGTTTGAATGTTATTTTTTGTGTGTTAATAAAAGTGTAAAAATTGGAAAAAAATATAAATATTCTTAACTCAAGCATTTGCTGGATCATTTTTCTACAAAACTTGTTTGTAATATAAAACACTCTCTGAAGAGTTGACTTTTTTCAGTTTTCATTCCCTGGAAATCACATTTTGTAAAACTGGGACCATTCATAATTGTCAGATACTTTTTAAAATTATTATCTCAATACATCACTTTTATAAAAGAAGTTTTTTTGAAAGGAAATTAGATACATGTGTCCCCAGATGTTTGTATAACTCTAGAATGAGTAGACTGTGTATGTTTAAATTAACTTTCTATCGACTGTACAGGCATCCGTTTTTGACATTACGCATGGTCCTCTTAGGTCACATGAAGTTTGATCGGCAAACATTTCTACAGCCGAACTTGTATGTGTGGTTGCCTCCTTAATAAACAGCCTGACCATAAGGTTTATTATTAAATTTATATGTTTTTCAAGTGTTTTATTAATTTCTGGATATGGTGAGATTCTCCCTACCCTCCCTGCCACTTGTCACCAGTTGCCTGCTGGTCTTAATGAATTTCTTAGTTGAGTTTTTAAACACACAAACCCAAATCATATTTGATCTTTATGAAGTTGGAATGTATCATATTATATTTCCTCTGCCCTGGTTATTGCATATGTGGATTATTTGGACTAAATTTATAGTTTACTCAAAATTGGTATGTTCTTGGAACTATTTCACGGGCTGTAAATTGATGTTGAGTTAGAAAAAGATAGCATATGTGAAACAAGTAAAATGCTGACTTTGTAAGAGTTTCCAGCAGAGAAAATGAATACATTTTCAGGGCAGCATGGATATTTATTTAGTTGATCATGTGCATCTTTCCTCTCATGGATGAGTGGGAAAAAATCAGGAATTGTACACTGTTTAATTAGTTCCCCACATTCCTTTCGGGAGTTTTTACTGGCCTCCATGTTGTATAGTTAGTCTCAGTAGGGAGGGACAGAGCCTTCATGTTTGAATTTTTCTCCCAAGTCAACCTAAAAACTTTCAAGAACCATTTAAAATTACCGTAAATGCCAAAATACTTGCAAATCAATGAATGAGAGATTTACTTAAACTTGTTAGAGGCCAGTGCAACAGGAAACCCCATAGGAGGCTCTTGAGAAGTATTTGCTGTCCCAAAGTTCAGCTGTGAGGTTCAAGAGCAGTGGAAGTGCTGGAGAAACTAATGGGGGTGTGTGTGTGGGGGGAGGGAGGGACCAAGCAGGGCATTCCCCTGGGCATGAAGCCAAAGTTAGCAACCCCTGATGTGGTTTGTGTTTTAAATGATCCTAAACGTAAGTGAGGAGACTGAATGAAATGACCCTCTGATTACTATTATGAAAACCACAGGTTTCACTCCTGCACCTTACATAACACAACTCGGTTAAAACTGTGCTCGGTGATGCCGATTTCAAACCAATTCTTTATCTGACTGGGTAACTTTCATGTTTTCTTTTTAAAAGAAAGAAAAAACAAAGTAAAGCATTATTTCCTATGATTTTGAAAGTGATAATAAAAATATTAAGAAGTATAAAAGTGAAAATGATCCTGCATTTCACCTGGGGATCCTACAGTCTAGAAATAAATTTTTCAGTGCTGACCTAACATGGTTATAGAATATTAAGTGGAAGCGTAGTTTTCTGTTTAAGATAAGGAAATATTTTCCCCTTAGAAATATGTTTTGCTTTTAAACAGAGGCCTGTGTTAATTGCTATTGAAAGCTTGACCCAGATTTTCCATTCCTGATTGCAGATATTCCTTGATTAAAAAAATATATATGTATTGTTTGTATCTTTATACCATTAATTGGTTTTCCTATAAAAATGTTTATTACAGAAAGTGAGAGAAATATAAAAAATTATAATGAAGGAAACACACTTAATTCCATGGGTAATCAGTCACTTAAATTTGAGGAGATTGTCTTTGGGTTTGTTTGTTTTTTTTTAATAAATTGGGCATCATAGTCATGGTTGAAAGTAATTTTTTGTTAACTCTGATGTCACAACTGTCATCATTTATAAATGGATTCTACTGCTGAAAAATCAGTTCCAGGAAAAGCATATAAATACTCATTCCAAAACTTTACCAAACCTGTATTATTGTAGTTTTTCATACAAGGTTTGGCAGAAGTAACGCCTGTTTGAGTGTGGTTGGTAGGGTAATGTATGGCTGTAATAATTTATAGTTTTAATTTGAACATTTCACCTAAAATGTCATATGGTGTGCTTGAGTGTGGTACTGTGATGTTACAGAATTACATGCTTATGATTTTGTAATTACAGGGGGCGTTATTTTTGCCAGATCCTTGTATAACATATTTTATTGAACTGCACCACACTGTCTACCAAGCCGAATTGACACAGTAGCGGCTGAATACAATTTCAGTTTTAAAACAAAATGCCTTTGAAGAAATAATAGGTACAGCCCTGGCTGGTGTGGCTCAGTGGATTGTGCACCAGATTGTGAACCCAAAGGTCTCTGGTTCAATTCCCCATCAGGGCACATGCCTGGGTTGCAGGCCAGACCTGCAGTTGGGGGCGTGTAAGAGGCAACCCATCAACGTTTCTCTGGCACATGGATTTTTATCTCCCTCTCTTTCTTCCTCCTTTCCCCTCTGTTTAAATATAAATAAACAGTTATTTAAAAAAAATAATAGGCACAACCAAATAATCAAGGTAGTCTGGAGTCCTTGAACTTTAGAATCACCTGACAGACTGTTAAAATAAATGCACCTTTCTGCACCCTACCCCACGACTGTCTTCAAAAATAGAACTATGGTCACAAGAACTAAAGTTGTCGGAATAGGATTCCCCAGCACAGGTCAGGCGCCATCCCTGGACTGATCGACTGTGGCCAAGTGACTGGAGTTAAAACCATGCATCTCTTATGGAAATCTTATGGACGGAAGGAGAGAACGACCATTTT